AATTTTACAATGGTGATTTATCTTTTAGCTTTACGGTATAATTTGAAGTTGTGTCTTTAACATTATAGTACAACCTATTAATATTATTTTGTAAAATCTCTTTATGGTACAAACTAAAGTTGTATCATTATGTTATAGTAAAACTTGAACTTGTATCATAAGTCATAACATAAATGTCAAATTCCTTTATGGTACAACTTCAATTTGTACTTTTAACGCTATGGTATAACTTTAATTTGTACTTTAAAGTACCAATACTTTAAAGTATAGTAGAAGTGTTCATATAAGAGGAATTTTTTTAACCAATGTCAAAGAATAATTTCTATTCATTTCGAGGAGTGGGTAAGAGAATGAATCGTGTATCATTCATGATATGACATGTGTCGAAGAGTTTTTGATCGTGCATTTATAACCAAATTACCGAGATAGCTAAGTACTTCTCATATGTACTCACTACTCACTAGAGGTGGCAAATGGATTGGATTGGTGGATTGGTGGATCCATGGATCAAATGGATTGGATCTAATGGATTGGTTGATTCATGGATTGGATCAAGTGGATTGGTGGATTATCCATGAATCCAAATGATATCATCAACCAAGGACCAATATGTAAAATGTAAAAATTTTAGATACTAAAATGTCATAATGAAAAATTTTAGGTACCAAAACGTAATTTTTCAATGATATTTTCCGTATAAAAAAATAAATTTTAGGTACCAAAATGTAAAAAATAAAAATTATAGGTACTAAACCGTAATTTGCCAATGATCCATGGATCCAATCCATGAATCCACCAATCCAATTGGATTTGGATAAAATGGATTGGATTTAAATGGATTGGATTAGGTGGATATTTTTAATGGATTGATGGATTGGATTGGTGAATTGGATTGAAATTGCCACCTCTACTACTCACAAGCAAACAAGTCAATTAGCCCTAACTCCAAGTGGTTGAAAATTCTAAAAAAGGGATGTTACATATACGATAACAAATTAATAATTTTTGGTCACATGGCCTAAATGTATACCCGGGACCGCTGCCTAGTAAAATCTTCCATGTACCGCGTTGAAACTTGAAACTACCTTTTTAGTTAGGTCAAATTCGGATTACTATTTCTTCTCTATCTTGCAACTTCTAAGTAATATGCATAACTCTTCAATAACAGTAAGAAAATTGAACTCCCTGATATAACTTATGAGCAAAACATGCAAGTACCAAGATAATGGTGGATTTCTTTTTTATGAATACCAAATTAAATAAGGTACATGTAGATGTTCCTATCATACTTTGAGTAGTAAAAGAGGAATTTTACAATGCTATATAGTGTTCGTGTTATAGTTTTTTTCCTTTATGGTACAATATGAAATTGTACCTTTAACGTTATGGTACAACTTCAGATTGTACCTATACATTTTGTACAAATTCTTTTATGGTACAATTTGAACTTGTACTTTTATTTGATGATACAACTTCAAGTTGTAAAGTTGTATCATAGCATAATGATACAAATTCTTTTATGGTACAACCTAAACTTATACATTTAATGTTATGGTACAACTTTAAGTTGTACATTAAAGCACCGATGCTATATAGCATAGTAGAAGTGCTCGTAGTAAAATCAAATGTATAGTATACTCTGAATAAGAAAATGATATATATACAGACCTTGAATTGATTAGAGTTTGAGACGTATTATACTCTAACACTTAAAATTAAAATATAGGTCTTAATTATGTGAACCTCATACACTAAAATCAATTTAATTAGAAACAAATCAAACAATAATTGACGGTAATGATTTGTCGAAATACATCCAACAAACTATACGCACCATTTTAGTGTTTAGAACCTATAATTCGACATGGTATAGTAAGTATCATGTCTCAAAATTCAATTAATTCGATATCTAAATACCAGTTTGTTACCATGAGGTACCCTAAATTTAGTACGATAGGAGGCCATGTATATTTATAGTCTTTTGATGTTGAAAAAAGGTATACCATGCTTTGGCGCCTAGACTTACTAAGTTGATCTTTTCAAACTTATGATCTTGATGTTTTATGTCCAAATCCATGGATGAGGCTCACTTTTGTTTTTAATCCTATTCAAGCTTATAGCTCCTATCATTGGTTTCCAAATGCATGCAGATAGACAAATACTCCAGATCTTTTCCATATCTACATTATACACATGTCACCCTGGAGTATATTACTGTTATTTATTTATTTTCACGAATTGGAGAACTATATATATGGAGGTTTCGAGGGTTTGAATACAAAGAATACAATAATATATATTATTTTAATAGCTTACATTATTGAATGATAAAATTAGCAACATTTAGGGGTGGGTAACCATTTGGTTCATGCTACGTTTAGATTTACTCTTCGAACTAATTCTCTGTATCAAACAATCAATGTGAATTTTATTCAGTGCGCGTATATACTGAAACATGATCCAGTAAAACTTGTTATGAATTGAGTGAAATTAATTATGGTTTCTTCGAGTTGAGATTCTTGAATTTTAATTATTTGTTGTGCTGCTATGAAATCAAAGTCGATAACCTTAAAAATATGGGTTTACTGGTAATATGAGAATATAACGTTGACCATACAAAGGCTTGCTCGAATCTTCGAATCCAAATTGAAGATTTACCTAGTGCATTTGAGCCTACACTTAAATTAATATGTGTGGCATGTGATTTTAAAACAAAGATCAAGAAGGCTGCCAGAAAAACAGCATTCGTAGCAACTTCGACCCTTTTGTTCGAAGCCTTACATATATCCAATCTTTCATCCAATGCCTTGAATTTGTATAAAAACATACCTAATTTAACGTGGTAGAGGCTCCTGGACTCGACTCGCATTCATGCTTCTTGAATTGAGCTCCAAAATAGGCTTCACAAACACATTTCCAGACTTAGCCATTTCCAGGCAGTTTCCCAGTTTTGGCAAAGCCTTTTGATGAGGTTCAAAAATGGTCTTCTGGACTTCCTATCGAGCTCTCTTCCACTTCAATATGTAGAGGGACACTCCAGCTTCAAAACAAGTCATTAGTCTTCAATTTCCATCTAGCCAATTATATTATATGAATATCCAAAGTAGGCACCATGAACTGTTTTTACACTGAAACAACATATTAGGTCGACCTGATCCTATATGAGGTCGACCGAATCCTAAATGAGGTCGGCCTATTCCTAACTGAGGTCAACCGGAAAGTGCAGGTCACCGTGACATGCATGTCATCGTAGGCACACCCAACGTTTTATAAACCTAAAAAATTATTAGTTCATCATTTTTTTTCCATTTCCCCGCTCCTTCCCGCGAGCTTGGCCTACCACTTTCATGGAACTTATTGGGTTAATTCTAATCTCTTCTCCTAATTATAGAAAACAAAATCCATTAAAATAATAGTAAAAAACAATCAAATAGATAATTAAATATCTTGTCTGGACGGGATTATTGCATTATAGGAAACTTCTTTCTCACATCCAATCTTTTTCATGTAAAAAAAAAAAAAACAAACAATGGTCGATGCCTTCTTGTAAACGTCTTGCAATTTGTGAAACCTTTTTCTATATTTATAAAAATATATTCATCTAATTTGTTCTTAATTCCTTGTTCTTCTTCCCATATGACATTAGCAACATTACCTACTCCCTTTACTAAATTAAAGAAGAGGCTGCAGCCTTGCGCTACTTCCCCCTCACTTGCCTTCATTTCGTAAGCTAGCTATAGCTTCCCCCCTTCAACTAAACAGAATATATTTTGCAGTTGTTGAAATGGATATGGATTCAATGAAGACTTTAGAAGTTGTGATTTGGATGGTTGAAATTGATGGATTTCGAATAGAAAAGATGTAATTGTGTAAATGGGTGGTCTTACGATAGATCATACTGATTTTATGTGTCCAAGCGATTACTAATTAAGGATAATTTTGATTGAGATTGAAAAATTTACAAAGCTAGGTCACTAGGCTGTTGCGCGAACCGACTCATCGTAGTAATTAGAAATGTTGTGAGAGAAGTGTCTAATTACGAGTTTCACAAACAAACGGATAAATCACTTGAAGTATGATATATTACTGGAGTACGGTATATTTCAGAAGTGCGGTCATTACCACGTAGAAATTTAACCAGCTGGGTTTGAAATATGCACGTACATACCCATATACCCTTGAGTAGCATTGATCGCCTTTATAAAAGAAATATTAATATTAGCATAGGTAGGGTACATATATAAATGCATTTAGACACATAAGTTTCATCAACAGTCACAGATTCTAATAATACCGTTATCGAGAACCAATCTGTCTTGAGCCTTAATCTATAACTAGAGTCATTGTTAGATGTGAAAATTATACACTTACACCTTTTCACTTCTTAGTTTCGATGTGAAAATTACTAATTCTATTGAAGTCTAAATCAATCATCAATTTTATAAAAATGTCGGTTCGAGCTACAACTTGATAATTTTCAAACACAATTCATCATTCAAATAACCGGTAAGAAATTTAGTCCTCTCAAATGTACCCTATTCCGTACGTGGTAACGACACACGTAGCAACTAGTTCAACCCAACCCACGACATTGACACATGCAAACAAGAGATGGGTCTAATGATAAATACCACAACTCTTAAACCCGAAAGTCCTAGATTCGAATTCGTTAAATAGCACCTAATTAAAAACCAAAACCTATATCACCCTTATGCAAAAATCAACCACATTTGAGACCACTTTGATAGGATAAGTTGACATGTGTCTAAATACCTAAAAACCATCGATCTTAACTTCTTCTTAATTCAACGGGTGGATTAATCCACAGTAAAAAAATAAAAATAAAAAAATTCAACCGGTTGAAAGCGAGAAGATTTATTAAATAAACTCACACACGGCCCCCTTATCGTTTGCGTTACGTTTCCCATGCAAAAGGGAAACCGAACTATCCCCATCCAAGAGTCAAGCCTCTATATAAACACGCCATTACCCAACACACTTTGTTCATCAACCCGAAATCACAATTAAGTTAATTTAGTTATCATTAGCTACCTTCACGCCAACAACAACAACAACAAAAAACCCTGCTAGCTTAGCTAGCTGCTCCACTAATCACCCTCTCGATTCGCTAATCCAGTTGCCGACTTCCCCCAACAATGGTGAGGCCACCTTGCTGCGGCGACGACGACGAGAAGGTGAAGAAAGGCCCCTGGACTGCCGAAGAAGACGCCAAGCTCGTCGACTACATCACCAACAAGGGCCACACCAACTGGAAGTCGCTCCCCAAGCTGGCGGGTCTCAACCGCTGCGGCAAGAGCTGCCGCCTCCGCTGGACCAACTACCTCCGCCCCGACATCAAGCGCGGCAAGTTCTCCGAGGAAGAGGAGAGGCTCATCATCAACCTCCACTCCGTCCTCGGCAACAAGTGAGTACACCGAATACATAACCAGACGATCTCATGGTTCGAAATTTTTATTTATTAATATGTGGAAGTTCGTTTTTTTTTTCTTTCTCGTCACTATAGATGGTCGAGAATAGCGACGCACCTGTCAGGGAGGACGGACAACGAGATCAAAAACTACTACAACACGCACATCAGGAAGAAGCTGCTCCAGATGGGGATTGACCCGCAGACCCACAAGCCGAGGACCGACCACAGCCAGATCGCTCAGATCATCAACCTGACCCAGCTGATCGGGGCGGCTCAGCAGCTCAACAGCATCATGATGCTCAACAACAACAACGGCATCATCGGAAATAGCAACAACAATAATAATAATTCCGTCGCTAATAGTATAATTCCGTTGCTACATCTTTTGAACCCGACAACCACCTCAGCGGCTTCAACTTTCCTGGCCCAACAACAACAACAGCAGCAGATGACGTCGTCACAGGAAGAGCTACTACTGGCTAGACTCTTGAACCCTGCTGGAGCTGGTTCATCAGCTCATCAGGAACTTTTTTGCAACCAGTTTCTTAACACGTTGCCAGCTTTGGCGACGGGTGGTGGGTCGTCGCTAATGGTCAACAACAACAACAACAACGGGGCTTTGGCGACGGCAAGGGAGTCTGCTCTGCCGGGGCTGGTTTCGGCGGAGGCTTCGCCGGAGGCGTCATCGTCGACGTCTCTTGTGCATCATAACAACAACGTTAACGGTGGTGTAGACGGTGTGATGGAGGCGGGGAACAATAATAATAATTACCCACACCTAAGCAATAATTCTTCCAACTTTTCCGACGGGACGACGGCGCTTAGCTCTCCGGGGACGGCGGCGGATGTGGATGACAATCAGTATGAAGCTTGGGAGAAGATGTTGCTGATGGATGACGACTTCGTCCCGACCTTTGGCGACAGCGGTTTCTTCTCGTCTTGGAAAGATGACGACCTTGTATTGGAGTAGGTATGTTGTAATTCTTCTTTTATCATCACCTTGTTAAATGTTAGGTAGGTTTTAGATTAAAAAAAAAATTGAATTCATTGGGTAATTTTTTATTTGCGTGAATGAGTTGATGAAAATCTATCTCGAATCTCGATCGATTCACATTAGGTAATTAAAATTTGCAATTTGCAAAGTGCAATATTTGTTACATTATAACGAGAGGAACTTTGTTACATTCATTTGGTAAATTTTAACAATGTCCCCTTTTCTTGCATGTCATTTTCAATTCATTTTTGTTAAATTGTAACTAGAAATTAAATGCTTTCTTGTTGTTTTGCAGTTTATCAGCATCACCTACTCTCAGTGGATGATGTGCCTGGCTAGCATTCGAAAGCTTTTACTATATGAGAGTCTCTGCAGCAACTAGCTAGCTATAGCTAGTATTTTATTTGTTCATTTATTAATTATGATTCCATTTTCATATGTATTTCTTTAGGTTATAGGGAGAGAATTTGCTTGATTGAATTATTATATATCTGTACAGGAATTGATATATATAATTAAGGTCGAACGATTGGTACCAATTAGATTATTCGTTCGACACGCATAGGAAAAGAAACAGAAACGATTGTTTAGTGTTGCAATTTGTCTTCAATTGTAAGAGTTGAATAATTTGTATACCAGTCTATATATATGAAATTATTTCCTATATTCCTTCACTTCCCGTTGACAGTAAGTTGAGAAAACAGATCAAATCGTTAGAAAAATAATGGGCTAACTCGTATACCATACAGTTTGGTTTTGACTGTACATCATTAAAAATGGTTTGGTTTGATTTATGGTCTATGTTAGATGTTTTGACTTCTTAGTATACCGTGATTTATCATACCAGACCGTCGACACAACTCACTTCCAATTGGATTTAACAGTCCACTCGATCAACATGGTATGCCTGGTCCAGACCAGACCATACAGGCATGGTCTGATATGGACTGTATCACATTTATTATGGTCCCTAGTCTTTGCTCCAGTCGTCTCTCCGTCTGAACTGTAAACCATATACATGGTTTGTTATGGATAATCAAAGGAATAATGTCTCGTGAAAATCAAAGTTGTACTGCCGTAGCGTAATATAATTAAGTTTTATTCTTGAGTTTTTCTTAATAACTCGTGTTATATAATCGATAAGCGAGTCATTAATGTACTTAGTATCACATAGCTACTGAATTTGATCTATAGTCTCGTATTCTAGCCTTAACAATTTCGTAGTGTTAATTGTCGATCACGCACAAGTTAATAGTTACTGACTTTGATCTATAGATCTCGTATTCGAACCTTTACGATGCCATAGTACTATTAATTGTTGATTCACGCACAACATATATGAATATACCGTATGCATGTGTAAATAACTAGATATACATGTTGAACATTTTTATCTACAACTCGAGTAATTTGATGAACCGGAGTTGACACAGATATTCCTCATCCCCCCAGCCTTGTGTTTCATATGAGTGCTCCTCCACACAAAAGGATAATTTAAAACGTCAATCACGATGGGATACATGTATGATGTTGATCAATTGCTTGAGCAAAGGACCATAATCTATCGTAAGCTACAATTTTCTGGATAAAGATTTATAGATATCTATGATAAGAACCGGTCGATGGAATTAGCTCAAACCAACCCTACAATATATATATTGAGTTAAAATATATGACATTATTGAATCTATTTGGATACGCCAATCACCTCAAATTAATGAAATTCATCATGGATATTACCTCAATCCAACAATACCCTATAAGAAGATGAAATTCGGATAGGAGAATGAAAGAGGTACGTAGCACCCGTCTATGTCGATATCGTTAGATCACAGTTTTCACTTTGCACATAATGTGAATGATCTACTATGGGTGGTAACAATTTCGAGATCGAAATAACTTCACCGCATATGTAAGATCGCAACGTAGAACGCGATCCGACAACACTAACCTTAGTACATTGGCACCCATTCAACCTCTCCTAACTAAAAATAATAATAGCTATGGCGACTTATTTAGAGAAATTAGGTAGTTAATTATTTCGTTTGGGGAATAAATGAGAAGACCCAAATACACAAGAAATCGAAGGAAAGTAGGGTTCCCTATTCTATTCCCAAGTTGTGTTGTCATGTTTATAAAAAAAAAAAAAAGAGTTGTGTTGTCGTGAAACCCTAAAAACAAGCTTTTGACCTTTGTGGGGGGAAAGTAAACAACCAAATACAACTATGATAGGATCATTGTCAAAGTCAAACATGTCACACCATTTTCAAACTAACAAAAGCTTCGTCCTCTCTCTAGCTATTATATACATGGACACGTTCCTTTCACCATTTCTCCACAGTGACGACGACCAATTACACACAATTTAAGTTTAAGTTGGAATGAAATTAAATGGGAAGCTAAGTATTGGAAGTTAGTGTGTTGTCTAGTGATTAAAAAGTCGGTATTGGTAGTTGCTAAATTGTTACTTAGTAGGTGTGTGATCAATATTTTACGTCCAATACAAGCAATTGACTGTAAAGCGCGCTCCCGATCGATCCAATACAGAGAATGGAAGGCAAAGAAGAAGCGCAATTAGTCTAGGAATTTTTTATATAGTTTAGTTTATTGTATAGGTTCTTGAACTAATTAAATCCAACTAACTACTATTCAAAAGTTTCGATTTGCTTTACTAAGCTTTTGCTTGTAGCTAAGTCAGCTACGACGTATGTGTACGTTCTGGTTAATTATTATATATGAGACTCTCTGAACAACTCGAGTTATTGAGATCAGATAGTTTAGGGCTAATATCATTAGGAAACCTAAACTATTAATTTTGTGTCATTTGTGTCCTAAAGTATCCGATATGACATTTGTGTCCTAAACTATTTGTCTGTTAGAGTTGACTGGCGTTGACCGTTAGTTTTTAACTGAAAATCTAGTCAGTGCTGATGTGGCATCCGACGTGGAATTTTATTATTTATTTATTTTATCATAAAAAAATAAACTAACAAAAAGAAAATTACAAAATATAAAAAAAATTAAATATAAAAATACAAAATAAATAACTTTTCGGGTCTTCTATATCTCCTCCGTAGTCTTCGCCGCCCGGAACTCCTCCCGTTGCTTCTTCGTCTTCTCTCCTCCTTACTTCTGCCGTCGTCCAAATCAAGTACGAATTGAAAGAACTCCTCCAGATTCGGGCATCCCCAGCTCCGTCCGATTTGTCGACATCCTAACCAGATTCGGGATTTCGTCTTTAGCAGCGGAGCAGAGGAGGGCGGGTTCCCCAGCTCTCGTTGAAGCCGCGTCGCCTCTGTAGATCCAATGAAACCAAATCCAACGAAAACCAGAAACCTAGTTCAAATGAAACCCAGAAACGGCGGCATTATTGAAATTAGATTTGCAGTGACGATTCGGAACGAGCTCGGCGTTCCTACTCTTGCGATAATTGTTCGTCGATTTCTCTCTGCGTAGCCGAGCCTATTGAAGAGAGACGCACACAGTGTGGAGATGGAGAGAGAGAGAGAGAGAGAGAGAGAGAGTGGGGATACAGACGAAGTAACAGATGGAAATGGAAGGGATACGAGCTTTCCTTCGCCTCCTCGTCGGCGATTTGGAAGGGTTCGAGCTCCAACCTGGTTCGGAATCGGCTTCGTTGCCACCGGGATTTAAAACTTCGACGGAGCCAACAAATCCACTCGAGATTCAGTTGATGGAGTGGGGATTGGTGATTTAAAACTTCGACGGAGAGAGGAAGAGGAAGAAGCAGGGGCTGCTTTTTATTTTCTTAATTATTTTTTATTTTTTTATTTTTTATTTTATTTAGAGTTAGTAAAAAAAATATGATGTGTCAATGACGTGGCATCTAAGTAGCTGCCACGTCAACAAAAATCAATGTTAATGTTGACTTCCGTTTGGTCAACCGTTATCTATAACGGTCAAAGAAATTGTGAGGACATAAATGACACACAACTATCATACATTGTGACACAAATGTCATATCGGATATTTTAGGATACAAATGACACAAAGTTAATAGTTTGGGTTTCCCAGTGGTATTAGCCCGATAGTTTATGACACTAACTATGGGGCTAAAGAAGTACGAGTGAGCTTGTATCAAGCGTCGGTAGCTTCAGATATGAAGGGTGGATTGCCAAGAATTCATATAGAAGCTCGGGCAATATTGTGGTATTCTGGGACGAGCTGCATGTCAAGTTGTTATCTGGTCGACAAAGTTCTTTGTTAATGATAACGGTCAACACTCGTGTTATACTAGATAAGTAAATTTTGCTAATAATTTGGATCACTATGTTAATTAGTGAAAAGATTGGCCAGGATGTTAAATAAGGATAAAGTTCGGACCATAGAAAGATACTAACCTTATGAAAACTATTATCTGATGGTTTTGCGTGTTTTGATACGATCGATCTAATCACGTCTTTAATAGGGTGAGTCGTAGTGGTTATTGGTTGCATAATTCTATTATGTATTTGGTCTTGCATAGACATAGATCAAAGGAGACACATCTATGGGCCTCTCGATGGAGTGACACTAAGAAATTTAGGTATGCTCAAATGATTGATATATTGGTATTAATATTCACCATATTATGTCTACTCTCGAAGCACAATCTCATCTACCCTACGGTATACAGGAGCTTGCACACCCGCCAGCAAAGGTAGGGACCATTCTTTAGGACGATATACATGGAGTTTCCTTATCTTTGCTTCGTAATTTAATTTATCTGAGTGTTATAACGAAGGTACACGAAATTTGTCAAAATTTACATCGACAATTTAATGACGATCATATTAAAAGATAGGTTGAATTATCCCAATTTTCACTTGGGGCTAACAATAATATACTGCTAGACCGTTCATCATAACACTACTGGGCAACACCAACCAGCATCCAAACCACCAAAGCCGTGCTTCTTGAGACTAAGTAGAAAAAGGAAAGCCTCAAGAAGAGATGACAAAAGAAATGGATCATCTCAATAGTAAAAAGAATAGAAAAACTCTGGAAGAGAATAGGAAATGGATTTAAGAGTTGAATTCAGTTGCAGGATTAGGATTTCTGTAATATATATGACATATGAGTTATGACATTCTTGCTACTTGCTAGTTTACAAGGAACGGATCATCTCATAATAATAAAAAAACTGTTGCTTGAAAATTTTAATGTACGGACTAGATATATAGTACACAAGGTTGTCAACCCGCGGGTTGACCCGCGGGTCGACCCACTTTGACCCTGACCCGGTGAGAAAAACGGGCCATACGCACCCGCCGGGCCGACCACTACAAGGTATCGGGTTGGAGGTCAAATTGTGTAATTTTTTTCTTTGGTTTGCGAAATGCGCCTATTTTCCGATTTTTCTTTTCGCCTAACTCAATCTTTGGAATCCTAAGTTGACCATTTGAATATTTATGTTAGATAAGTGTGTGAATTTTCACTATATGTTGGATCTAAGTACGATATGTTATTTTGGAGTAATATTATATGTTATAAGTCATATGCTAGATAAGATTTGATATAATTTATGAGGATAAGTACAATATAATGACTTTTTCTATATTTCCGGGCCAAACCGGGCTAAAGCGGTTGACCCATTAACCCTTGACCACTAGCTCGACCGAGTCTGGGTCAACCCGCGGGTTGACAACCTTGATAGTACATCATTATATATGGCAACAAAATATAGTAATGATACTTGTTTGCTAAAGCAACCAGATGTAGGGCAGTAGGGGTTGTTTATTTCCTGGATTTGATAAACAAGGATTTTAGTAAAATATGTAGTTTTGGAAAATCCTAGATATATGTTGAATTTGTTGGCATCATGATTTAAAAATAGTCCATTGTTTTCTTATTGAATTTCATTAAAAAATTTGGTTGGATATGATAGATTTTAGCTCTCACTGAAATCTCATTTCTTTCTAACTATGAAATTTGCAAGTTCGGGAGGCACGAATTTGGAAATCATATGAATTCCATCGATTTTACTTCAATAATTGGCTAGCAAACAATAAACCCTAGGACAACTTCATAAATGAATTAGATTTGCAACCCAAATCCACGAAGCAAACAACAGAATGACTGTCAATGAAATAGGGACACGTTAGCATGCCGCCAAAAATCCTCACGTTCCTCCCCATCTGACTTGCGCTTGCCAAATCTGCCCTGATCCCATCGGCAGCGGCGGCCGCCACTGTCTCGGAAATTCCGGCTGAATCTGATAGATACGGGCAGAATTCTATCGTATTTGTGTTTATCTTTAATCAATTATTATCAGTTTTAGTTTAGGAGTCATATTAATTATTTAAGTGTTCTCCTTAGTTTTTTTAAGGAGTAAGTTTTTCAGTCCTTGTTGAATTAGTAAAGGCATTAAGATTTCTGAATTTAGTCATAAATTTGTACGTTGTATTTTAGTTTTCATTAAGCGAATAAAAACTCAGAATATTGTATTTTCGTAGGAGATTTAGGAGTAGAAGACTAGAAGTCTAGAAGTAAACGTAGATTTTTGTTCTACGTTAATGCTTGAACTGTGGCATACAGTAATACAACCTCTTCGATCTCCAAATATGCATTCCTTCTGGCTCCGAGCCAATGCCATACTGACCTTCTCCATCACCATCCTCGCGTTCATGTGCGCCATGGCTAGCGTCTCCGACTGCTTCAATTCTGCCTCCCCTTCCGCCCAAATCCAGGTCGGCTCGGCTGGCAGCTCTTTTGCTCTCTGAATCTGTTTTCCCCTAATTCGGAAAACCCTAGCTTGTTATGTTCTGAAATTTAGGTTTTCATGATCCCTTCTGTTGTTTCTGTAGATAACGAACATCAACTGGTTTCAGAAACAGCGTAATGGAAACGAGGAGGTAAGTCGATTTGGGCTTTTCATTCATGGGGTTGTGACTAAGCTGGATCGTAACGAACTAGGCATGTTAATTGCTCAATTCTGTTGTAGTCTTGTTAGTCGAGAAGAATGCTTGTGGAGAATTCCCCTTTACCCGTTTAGTAAAGCTGTGGCTTTTACTCTAATCCTTGTTTGACTAGGATTGTGAATTGGGTAGAAATAGCTTGCTTTCATCTATTAATTGGGGGAAACTTCTGCTGTATCAGATGCTTTACTGTGTATTTTTCACAGGGTGATCTGCATTTCTTCTGCAATTTTTTTTACTAGGGTCTGATTGGGGCTTCTTCTGTCATATAGGTGAGCCTCACGATGAATATAACAGCAGATCTGCAATCACTCTTCACGTGGAATACGAAGCAGGTGAGTCTCCTAATCTATGCACCTTCTCGATTCTGTTTGTCTCTTGTTTGATTGGCATTTTGTTCGTAAAGCAAAACTTTGGGACTTTATGAACTTAGGATAGGAGACAGAGTTATGTTGAATGATTGCCTTTTAGTTGCTGGCTTGTTGTGTCTGAAACTCATTTAGATTGCAGAACAGAGCTTGATTTGCTAAGACATATAGCCCCCTGAAAGATTTGTGGTCTTTTGGTGTCAGGTATTCGTATTCGTAGCTGCAGAATATAGAACTCCAAAGAACGCGGTGAATCAGGTATCATTGTTTACAGAACATACAAGACAGGCCTAGCTTTCCTTAGTTAGTCAAGATTTGCTCACCTTCGACTCGCTGTTAATGCAAATAGGTGTCACTTTGGGATGCAATTATCCCAGCCAAAGAGCAGGCAAAGTTCCGGGTTCAGACGGTAAACAAGTATCGATTCATCAATCAGGTAACGAAAAGCCTAGGAAGTTTCACGCTTTGGTGTTTGGTCTGAATTTTTGAACTGATAACCCTTTCTTCCTTGTGCAGGGAAGCAATCTCAGGGGTAAGGATTTAAACCTTACATTGCATTGGCATGTCATGCCCAAGGCTGGCATGATGTTTGCTGACAAATTAGTCATCCCAGGATATCGTCTCCCGAAAGAGTATAGATAAGAGCAAGAGGGGGAAGCCTATATAACTTTGATGTCTGATTCCAACATAGCAGAGAAATCGTGAAACTCATTGAGTTGTGTTCATTCAGCACAGTGATAGTTTTGGTGGTCAGTTTGGCTTTCTGAACTTTGTCACTCTAACCATGGTAGATTTGTCCAAAGCAGTATATATCAGTGTGTCGATTGAGCTAGGATAAGTTTTGTTATCCGGAGACATGTTAGTCTTGGTCGGTAATGTTGAGAGAGCAATGTTTTGTAAAATCGTACTATAGGTTGTACATGAAAAGTCAATGGCAGAATATTTTGTGATTAAATCGTTGTTTATTCATTTCATATCCGACGAAACTGCCTACCAGCTTGAGCTTCGGTAGTCGACTTTCTGATCGAACATCTAATACGGTCACATCGAGAATGATACGAAAATGTAGGTCAAGTTGAAAAGAGACATGTGGTGGACTTGATTAACTCGGGGCAGGAACGAACCTGGACTTAAAAATTGGGCCGGAATTTATTTTTTCATTTTGGAAACAATCTAGACTAGGGGTGCAACAGTTCGGTCCGGACCAAATTCGTGAGAACCACGATCCATTAGTGAAATAAATCTTAGGACCCAGGACCGGACCATCATAGCGTTGGGTCCATTTGGTCCGGTCGAAATATCAATTCGGTCCTTCTTTTCTTCAGTAATTATAAAATCCATTTGCACCAATGACCAAACCGCATTATACTTAGTTCGGTGCAATCTGGTCCAAACTTCGGTTTGGTCTGGTGCGAACCGGTCTCGAACCGGACCATTGCACACCCTAACCTAGACAATGATTTTACAAGGATCAATATATCATTGTAACAATACCAGACAGGTGACTGAATCAAAGCTCAATATCAGAAGTAATAATATTATATATTTTATAATAAGTCTGATGTACTTTGTTCTCCCTGCTGCAACACTTTTACCAAGCATAACTATGTGGAAACTCTGCACAATTTAACCAGTTAGCTTCTGGACCATCTTAATTCAGTAGCTCTGAAGTGACGACTACAGCCACCAAAAAACCAAAATGGAGCAACTAAATATGGCTTCCAGGCATGTTCATATCTAAATATCTCTAGTCATTTACACCTAAACCTAAAAAGACGACACCTTTGGGAGACCATCGAGAGATTTTCACAAAAGGGTTGATCAAAGAGTAATCCATATACCAAAAGTAGCAGCAGCAGTAGCAGATGGAACATGATTTCATGATCTAGCTAGTTATATGCCAGATCCTCTTTGGGCTGATAAATGACATTCTTGAACATATCCTTGAGGTTGACAAGATCGAGCATCTTCTCCAGAACTCTATCCTTTTCATCCTCGGACAAATGTCTCGACGATTCCCTCCTGCAAGAATCAGCACCTTCTGCAGAATAAAGAACCAAGTCGGACAGTTTATCCTTCCTGAGTTGGCGAGAGTACTTCTGCTCTTCGATTGCGCCAGAAGTGATCAGATTATAGACATGAACCACTTTGGTTTGCCCTAGCCTGTAAGCCCTGCTGATGGCCTGCCTTGTGACAGAAGGATTCCACACTACATCCAGCAATACCACCCTCGAAGCACCGATTAAACTGATCCCTTCAGAACATGCCTTTGTCGATGCAAGAAACACCTTAGCATCAGTGCTGGGATCGTTGAATTTCTTCATCACAGACTGACGCTGATTCACATCCAGCCCTCCATGCATGTACAGGAAATCTTTGTCTGGTGTCCACTCGAACCGGGCATTGAGCTGCTCAGCTATCATTCTCAATGGATCAAGGTATTGACTGAAGACCAGGACTTTCTCGTTGATCATCCCACTGATCTTGATGAGCTCCATGAGGAACTTGGTTTTGACTCCAGCATCAGGGTCCAGCTTGCTCCTTGTCAGCTCATCAGCATCAGCGAGTGCTGCTACTTGGAACACTCCACTGCAGTTCTTGAGCAGATACGGGTGCACCGAAGCTACAGAAAGCGCATGTTCCTTTTGGAAATACTGGGACGGATCTTTCCTCTCTGTTGTTCCTTCATTCTTCCTCTCTTGTTCCGATTCGAGCTTCTGAGTAATTGTTTGAACTCTGGTGAGAAGGCGTTTCTGAAGATCAGCTGGGTTTAAGATCACAACGGAGGTTCTTAAGCCTGGTAGTTTCTCTTGCAGTATACCACCATTGTAGACATGGACAAAAGGATTGATCAGAGCCCTAAGGTCTTTCCACTGTTTGTCCTTAACCCCATCATTGGTGCTTTTGTGAAGATGTTTGGTCATCGTTTGCCATTTTTTCCTAGCTTCAGTTAACTCACGACCGCGCTTCCTGTCCTTTTCACTCACCCAGTTGAAGGTTGATATGCTATCTAAGAAGTTGGGCCTCGCCAACCAGAGTGTATTGAAGAACTCTTCGAAGTTGTTCTGAAATGGAGTTCCAGAGAGAATAACCCGCTTCCCGGTTTTCACTTTGGACAAAGCTCTCCACAGAAGGCTACTTTCGTTTCGTGCTGTATGTCCTTCGTCAAGGACCATCAAACCAGGAACTTCAAGAAGCACTTGCCTAATTCTTTCATCTACAGGCTTACCCTTTGCTTTGCTTGGGCTGCTGTCATCACCTTGATTCTTCCTCTTCTTTCTCATGCCTTTCCCAACAAGTTCCTCAAAGAGAGTGTAGCTTAGCAACAAAATTCCAGTTTCTCTCTGCCACGAGTATAGCTTCACCCAGCGGACAGCGTGTGCATCCCTGATATCCTTCAAAAGATCGGTAGCCACGACACTCTCCTTGCCCGTTAATTTGAGATCATTCAAGTTGTGACGAGGTTCGGGTACTTCCAAGCTTTTGAATTCAGCTTCCCAAGGCAGTAGCATGCTACAAGGAACAATGATCATCGGCCTGCATTTCGGGTACTTTTTCATGTAAGTCTGCAGGAATCTTATGGTGAGTCGGGTCTTTCCTGTCCCCGGAGCATGTGATATTACACATCCACTCAATCCACTTGAACACTCTGCTTCTTTCAACTTGTTCAGACGGATATCTCCTCCTATGTTTCTCCACAGAAACTCGAAACCGTCTCGCTGATGCTTATGCAACCCTTTCCGAATCCAAGGAATGATGTCCCAGACTGTACCCTCATCGAGCATGCACTGGCGACTATGATCCAATCGAGCATCGGAATCACAGTCAGCAGGTCCATCGGGTATTTCTTTCTCCCCTTTGTTGGAAGTTCCTCTGTTCACTGTTCGGTAATACTTTTCGGCCTGCCAAAACAAATGGCATAAGGTGAGGGAGAGGGGTAATCAGCCCAAAAAGTATAATCCTAAGTTCATGAAAAAAAGTGAAGAAAAGCAGTAGTGGAAAGGGGACTTACAAAAGGTGCTACATGATATCTTATCTCCGTTTGCACAAAAGAGCAGTATCTACACAGGAGACCAATTTCATCATCGACTACTAACTGATGCTTGCCTTGCCTACAAAGTGTGAAAGGATCCGCTTTAACGCCTGGAGAAGAAACATCAACTTGCTCTGGGGCCTTTGATCAAACAAAACAATCATGTCCATTAGTATAAAGAAAAATACATTTTTCACTCAGGCACAGTTATATCTTTGCACCAATCCATACATCGTAGGCGTAACTGCCTAGCAAGGGACACAAGGAGCCAAGGACACAAACCAGACAAGTTTAAGCTTTCGAATCTTTCTTAGCAGTTGGATACTGAACGGGCTTGAGATCATTTAAACGCCTCAGATGTTAAAACAATGACTAGATGAGACCCACTAGCTTCAGAAAGCCAGGGATGGCATGCAGCAAGAGAACTAAAGTACATTTGTCACTCATGCAAACTACATAGGAGCCTTTTCATTCATCATGCTGATTAATTCACAAAACCACGTATCCAGAATGTATAAAAGTAAAAAGAACCACAAAAGAAAAAATTGAGTGTAATAAAAAATAAATTGAGTAAGAGAAGGCAAACAAACCAAAATCTCATCATCCACATGCAGACCACAACATACCTCTGAAACACTGGGACAATCCTCATTTTCATATTGAGCTAAGGCCATTTCATCCCAAAGACTGTCTAGTTCTTTTTGCTCCTCCGATTTCTCTGGTGGAGCTGGCTGTTCATCTTGACTGATCTTCCGAACAACACATTGCTGCTGCTCCTCGGCTGGTGGTTCCTCTGCCTCATCATCCTCAACCGGTAACTCTGCATCTCCCAGTACAGAACGAGCAAGAATGTTAACAACATCAACCTCCTTAAGTTGTTCCCCAATGGGTTGCCACGAGCTTTGCTGATTCCTTCTTTGCTCTGCTGCACTGTTCTTTTGCTTGGCCTGATCACTGCTGCATGATCCTTCAGCAGCATCACTATTCTCCCGCTCCACCAAATCTATCGAAATTGGAGGATCCGAAGACCCAATTACTGCCTCTTGAACTTTCGTAACTTCTCCGGCCCACCACCAACCTGCTCCATGGCTATCTTCGTTTCCACTCTTATCAGTTTCAACTCCCCCTTCAACTGTCCTCTCTCTTGTCTCCTTTGCAACATCATCTCCTTCGCCAGTTTCAGATACCATTTCAACTTTCCTCCCTCTTCTCTCCATCCCAACATCATTTCCTTCATCAGTTTCAGCTTTCCTTTTAAATCTCCCCACTCTTCTCTCCCTCCTGGCATCATCTCCTCTCTCTTCCTGTGGGACCTTTGATCGTAAATAAAGCAACGAGTTCATCAGTTTCTATTTCCAGAATTCCAGACATAATATATTGCAATATTATGTTTGAGTACATCAAACTACATTCGAGAACTTTATGGCACCAGTGATATCTCAGCATTATTCATGCATCGTAGACATAAACTTCCAACCAAGTTCCTTTCAACGGAAGCAATGCCAGCTCCATAAATAAGCCAACTCCTTACCAGACAGGTTAAGCTTTAGGACCTCATATTAGCAATTGGCTTACTGCGACTGCATACGAAATTAAGCTTGCCGTCGCCATGAGAAAGCCAAGAGATTTTCAGCCAAATCAATCGCTAAAACTACTAAATTTACTGAACGCTACAAATATAGGGATGACATGCAGCAAGAGAACTTGAAGTAATCTAAATCAGAACAGCTTGAACAAGAGAAACCAAGCAAGCAAACCATAAATCTCATCGCCAACATGCAAAAGATCACACAACATACCTTTGGAATATCCGAACTATCCTGGTTTTCATATGGAGCATTGGCCATTTCATCCCAAAGACGGTCCAACTCATTTTCATCTTCAGAGTTTTCTGATGGAGTGATGTGATGTTGCTCATCATCTTCTACTCCTTGTT